TTGAAGATAGAGATGTTTTGAAGATAGAGACTCGATTTTTTAGACGTCGGTACTTGAGGTGCAATAACTTTAGCTTTGCTGGTTGCGTAAACGTTCAGGCTGAAAACAGCAGAGCATTATCCGCTGAAAATAAGACCGCCCAGGGCTCGAAATGGAAAATTTATGGAAATATAATCCCATAAATCCTAATGACCTTCACATAATAGGCTCAGCACAGTTTCCACACATAACATCTCGTTGGTAACAATAACCGCACATTATATAATAGCAGGTTCACAAATGAGGTGTTAGTCAAACTACAGTAGCGTTTAGTAGCTCACTAATCTGGTGGGCCCAGCCGTGACCACCCAGTCCGGCTCGCTCGTCACACGTCTGGGGCGTTGCTCAACAGTCCTGCTGTTCGAGAGAGTGAGAGAGTGCGAGATGGTAAGCGTGCGTGAGTGCAGGGAGCGCCGCACGGTGTAGTCCTGTTGGATGCCGGACCGGCCTTTCCCACGTTGAGTGAAAACGCCGCACAAAACAGGTATGTAACTGGTTTGGAGATAGCGGGGAGCGATAGGATGCCGACTTCCGAGGCATATACTCAGAGAAGTCTCGTCGATATCTCTTTTGCACCACGAGTCTGGAACGAGAGAAGAGAAAATTTACTCCTATTAGTCGTTAGGCATACCATATAGCTGAAGCGCGGGCCATACTTCCGAAGGGTTTAAGCGGTTCATTACAGAGTTGGCTGCATAATTTAGCTGTTGTCAGTTAATCCGTCATGACATTTTTGTAAAAGTATATGACATTTGTTTTGTAAAAGTATCACTTTATAAAGAATACTTTTTGGCAAATAGATTGAGTTATAAAACGTTTATCGTGGTACCTGGACGTGGAAGGATTTACAAGGACAGAGCCACCACTAGGCGAGGCTTGTTGCGGTGACCCTGCCCTCTACCCTCCGATCACGCAATTCCAGTTCTATGGCAGAATGAGTCCAAAATTTAACGTGCGCACATAGCCGCGCACGGCCCGTCCCCTCACTAACTTCGCCTGGCTACGGCCTGCCATCAACCACAACCATCTCTGTCAGGAGGTCCATAAAGCGCCCGTCGCGCTTCGAACCCGGACTGTTATAACCGGGAACGCGTGCTCTCACCACGCGGAGTCCAACGCTCTACAAACTGAGCTACGGGACCGGCAAGGGTGGAGCTACCCGCATTGGACAAAGGTGACCGTCTAGCCTGGGTCAGGGTGTTGACTGTTGAGCTGTGGAAGAGAAGGATTTTACTATACTGAAGATGGAAACGACAGAACGGAGGTTTCGTCCTGATGCATTTCTGTTTTCGGGTCTACGTTCCGACGCTAGAGATTGGATAAGCAGCTACTCAGATAAGCGAAAACACCTGTACAGTGTACGCCATCATGTGTGCGGGGGCCTCAGGCCACCAATCGATATAAAAAAGGTGATTGCTGGTTATATAAGATAGCCAGCCTGTACGAACAGATTCACCCTCCTTCGGCCTAATGACGAGCTGCATATAAGCGGACCAGTATCCTGCTGGAGGCGGAGCAAGTAAAAGGAACAACGCTTCCTTCCCTTTTCTCACCTCGATAGTTACGTGCACTCATAGCTGTAAGAAATTTTTCATCAAGTCTGTAAGAATATTCACATGGGGAAGGGAAACAAAACTAAGTCTTTTTTTCTGTTGTGGCTATTGTTTTGAATTCACTTCGATTAACCGGTTCTCTAATGAGCGGGAGCCATGTGACATCAATAAAAGGACTGCTTCATTTACTTGGAAGCTCATAAAAAATACCTACCTGTCAGCAGCCTTGACCAGAATGTAGCTTAACATGCGTACCTACATGTTGATTTAGATTTATCCCAATCCCGGCGCCGCGCGAAATTCCACGACGTGAGTCTGCGGCCTCGTTTGGCCGGCGCCGTTACCATGCGTTACAAAATAGTGTCATCATATACAGCACATATGCTGAAAGTACATTAGAGCAATTTGTAACCGGTAAAACTGGGCTAAACATGTTCATGACTCGGGCGTTGAAGTTATCGTAGGTACAGCCCACCGCTAAAGTAATGTAGGGTTTTACCAATCTCAACGATTGGCTTTGACTGGCGATTGTTTAATGCGGAGTGATCGAAAAGAAGATGTCAATAGCTAAAATTGCAGCTGCAAGGGTGACGATACATATAAGCTACATTCAAAGTTTCATTGTAGTCTGGCTAATCGTTCCTAAGCTTCAGAAGCAGAACATACCCATGACTGAAACCACACATTACTTCTGCTGTGGACTGTACCTATGTAGGCACATCATTCGACATAATAACTTTTCGATGGGTGCCTCTCGCAATAAGTACACTAACTAATGTGAAATTGTCGTAACAAGCAATTGCGTCGTCTCAAATAATTATTCTTAGCGTTTTATAAAAATCAAATAAAAATATAGTAGTACCTAAGTATCGTTGCACTCCAAAAGTACACCTAGAGGAACCAACGATTCATTTTACTTGAATTTTAACCCGGCGGCCTGTGGGGTTCTGCGCTCCATAGGGCTGCATATAGGGTGACATCCCCGAAATGCTGTAGCCCTATATATCTGTTCCGTACTTATGCGCCCGATTCAGCTTTTGGATCGTCAAAAGCGCGGACATTAGCTAAGTTTCACCTTCTGTAGTAACGTGATATCATAGTGTTATTTATTACACTATGGTGATATCCTGACTTAACCCGCGCCCCACTGGGGGGGGGGGGGGCTAGTCATAGCCCCTCCCGTTTTTTTTTTGAATAACTTCCAAACCGCTTGACGTATCGGCGTCAAACTTTCAGTACCTTCGGTTGCATCAATTTGACACCTTGTATCAAAATATGAACTTCGCAGCTACCATAGGTCGGCCGGAAATGACGTCAGAGTGACGTCATGTTCGGCCGATTTCGACACAAAACATTGAACCACGGCAATCGCTCCCAAGAGCTTAGTTTTTAAGCTAGATCCGATTTCTTTGCATGAGAGGATTCAGGATAGACTGCGCTATCAAATTGCTGTCTCACATTTTCAAAATTACGAAAATTTTGAAAATTATTTATCATAAAATTCAAACTTAATATTTCCATACTTCCTTCATTTTTTTTACTTTTCGAAAAAACCGGAATACCTATGTGTGATAGAACACATGGTTATGACTTACTCTAACAAGTTTTAGCTAAATATCTTCAAAAATTGCCAAATTATACGCATTATTGCAAAAAATTCACAATTATAGATTTTTTTCAAATCAATTTTTCAGTACGTTTTTGACACCATACTCCAAAGTAAATAGCACCATTGTATTTCTGAGCTCAAACTACATCCCATAGACATGTTTTTTGTTGCAAAATTTTAACTTTGAAATTTGACCTTTTTTGACCTGAAAATGACCTGACCTCAGCTATATTCAGATGCAAATGTCCTCAAATGACACAGGCGACACCGAATTCGAAATCTATGGCCTAAATTGACCATAAAACATGTGTAACATGACCGACTTATGACATAAGATTTCCGTGACCTATGATGACCTGACCCTGACCTGAAAATCAAAGTACAAGTTTGGTACCCTCAGAGAAGCATCTGTTCACGAGTGTGTAAAACCAAAAATCAGCCTGATCTGACTTGTAACACGGCAGCCAGAGTCCAAAAAGTGAACAAGTCAAATATCGATAATTTTTATTTTGACCTGACCTGTGACGTCATCGGTGACTTCGAAGTCAATGAAATTAGGTTTCTTTCGATAGTTTTTCCGGGGCTATCAGATGCCGTTTTAATTTTGACGATCGGCCCAGTAGTTTCGGAGTTAGGAGGGGGGCTATGAATAGCCCCCCCCCCCCAGTGGGGCGCAGGTTAAAGTGGAAACTAAGAATACTGGGCGATTCCTTTATGATTTCTAAGTTTTTTTTCGCGAAAGCTACCCGCCGCTGTCACTAAGTTGTCCAGGAAACAAATAAAACGTCGGATGTTCAGACATCCCTCAATTTGAAAGGTAGGTATGAGGCGTGAACAGCAAACTTGTCCCGTAATCCTTTTATGGCATGTCTGAGATTCTGTGTTGAACCATAACAAACCCGATTTATCTACACTTTTCCGATATCCCTCTCGCTCTTATCAGTCTCTGAAAGTCATCGTCATTGTTATTCATTATAAGGCAAATAATAATATACGATAATACCAAATCCATTGTCTGTTAAAGCTACCTATGACTTGAAAATCATTGTTCGAGTTTCCCTAATAAGGTGCCCTTTGAAGCGTTGTAGCCGCAATAATATTTCTATTCCGACATATTAAAAAAAAAAACACAAATACAACAGTATGGTCCTGCGGTTGCAGGGTGGCTAGTAAGCTGGCGATGTTACACATGGGTGAAATGGCGGCGTTGAACGTCTTGACTTATTTAGATGCTGCCTATCAAAAGACAGAATATGCGGTTGGTTTTTCTGACTATGCTCAGCATGGTCATTACACTAAGCTACGAATCTGATATGACGCCAAGGTAATGCAAGATCCGTATTGTCGAGACGTTTTCACTACGCATGTTACATTTGTGGAACGTCCAGATCATATGCGTACTCAGTGAGCATTCCAAAGTCGGTGCACCCTGAGTCACTACCACACGTAGGTGCCTATGTTGTTACCGAGGTGCTCAGCCCTGACCTGACCCTTCAGCTGTACCACAGTCTCCGTCTGGGGTCCATCCAAACAGGTCAAACAACGCTGAGATGCGTCCACCACGTCATCCGATGCCGTCATTTTTATTATATAATCCCCGTTGTCTGGCACGCCATAAGTCGTCACCCCACGCTGATGCCGATTCTCAGCAGTTTTGCCAATACACGAGCTGAAGACAAGGTCGTATGTGGTTGTGACCGGTCGAGCTGTCATCTGCGATTGCGAAATTCTCTCGCTAAGCACGTCGTACCGCCGACGTGTTGTCCTAATTCCGCGTTTTGCGCCATTCAGCGTGCAGAAGTTGTGCGGACCCCCGGTTGGGTCCCGGTTTGCAACTCGTCTCGGCGATATAAGGGGCTGCAATAACAGCTTGTCGTCAGACAATCGGGAGAGGCCTGCGGAAGGTGGCACGGTGCCTGTCTGGAGACAACACCAAATTATCGGCAAAGGTGGGCACCTGGACTGAGGAGCACGCAGTGTGGGTCGAGCATTCGAGGATTGTGGAGATAATGGTTTTAGAGCCTATCTCCCCTTCATCTTTGATTGCGTGCTGCACGGTGCACTGTGATTTTTTTACCTTATGATTTATTTTTGCTTTTGTTATTTTGTCGCGCTTCCGAAAACAAATCCATTAATTATTATTGGTTCAGTTGACATTAATTCTAATTTCCCCATGTGTACGTACCTAATTGCACAATTTTCTGTATGTGAGCTGTCGGAGCATTTGGATCAACATTTAGCGTCGTGCCTTTCAACGACGGCATCCAAAGGGTGACGTAAATTGTGAACTATGTACTGCTCCTCATAGCGCACCTCTACCGTCAGGGAAGCACGTCACTCTTTCTATCCGCTGCAGCGCGCTGATGAGCTTCCGTATGACATCTCTGACCGGGCCGTGTCCCTCAGATGCGGGCCAGCTGCCTGCTGTTGGTCGTCCTGGGAGCGGCGCTGGCCGCCGAGAAGGACGCCAAGGAGGACATCCGCGGCTCGCGCACGTTCGGAAACCTGATCGGCCTGATCGGCCTGAGGCCGAAGCCGGTGGTGCGGCCGGTGGTGCACGTGCAGGCGGCCCCGGCTCCGTCGGTGGTCGTCCTGCCGGCCAGCACCATCACCGTCTCGCAGCCCGCTCCCAAGCCCGTCTACAAGCCGGTTGTTAAACCGGTCGTCCAGCACGTTGTTAAGCCCGTCGTCCAGCCTGTAGTTCAGCAAGTTGTCCAGCCTGTCGTCCAGCCTGCTCCTCAGCCCATTGTCCTCCACCCTGCTCCTCAGCCCGTTTACCAGCCCGTGTCGGAACCCCTGTACCAGCCTGTGGTGGAACAGCCCGTGTACCCGAGTCCCGTACCTGTGTACCCCGATCCCGCTCCCGTGTACCCCACCCCGGCCCCTGTGTACCCCAACCCTGGTCCGGTCCACCCCACCATTGGCCCCGTCCACCCGCAGCCCGACCAGGGCGGTCTGGTGTTCTCGTGGCACGTGCCGGAGCTGGCCGGTCGTCAGTTCACCTGGGGGCAGGCCGACGCGGAGTGCAAGGCCCGCGGACTCCGACTGGTCTCCATCGATAACCCCAGGAAGAATGACTTCATCAGCCGCTCACTCGAGAAAGACAGTAAGTTGGCGCGCTTCAGGGGGAGATGCTGTCTGGTGTATGATCGTGATGTGTTCTATGATGTCTGAAACAGCTTTCTTTGCATATTTATTTAGCGATACTTTAAATTAAAGTCGATTATTACTACAGTAAAATGTTAGGTTCAGTTCAGTCCAATTACGTTTGTTTTATTTGTGTAACAGAAACAAAACAGTGTTTTCAAATGAACGACTTCGGGGTCACTGATGTCTGTTCTGCCACCACTGCTATTTGTCCTGACGCGTTCTGCTGTGTGTCCGGCAGGCATTCCGTTCACCTGGACGTCGGGCCAGCTGGGCGGCCCCACCGGCTGGCAGTGGTCGGCCACCGGCCAGCCGGTGCAGTATACCAACTGGGGGCGCGTCGGGCAGCTGGGCCGGCCGCAGCCGGACAACGCAGAGGGCAACGAGCACTGCCTGGCCGTGCTGAACCGCTTCTACCCGGGCGACGGCGTCACCTGGCACGACATCGGCTGCCACCACCCAAAGCCGTTCATCTGCGAGTGACCGCCCTCCATCTGCGAGTGACCGCCCTCGCAGCGGTGAAGTCATAGCGCAGGCGCACGCTTCCTCATGAACAAATGTTATTTGTCGTATGTGTTACTTCTTAATCATGAAAATATGTCATTTGTCATGTGTGTTACTTATCATGGGCTGTGTTGACTGCCTCGTGATGTAACTCGTGTTAGTTCATTTCATCTAAATGTTTCTCATTTGTCGTATGATATACATCATGTGGATGTGTTCCTGGCTCTGGCCTCTGCGTATAGGTATACCTACATGAGCACAGTTGCAATTAGGTGTACAAGTTGCCATATGCCGTAGTTTTGCAGTCATCAAGTGCCATCTCGTTAGGCCTCGGTGAAGTCTGTTACTGCCGGTTTATTCATTTTTGCAGCCGTCAGTACCTTAGTTTGTTGACGATCATCTAAATACAATGCAAATACAAGTATATGTGTTCCGATCATGCCCCCATCGAAAGAAAGCCATGCGTCATGTTGGCAATACAAAAGAATCATACCAGTACTTGCGTTTTGTGTGAATACCTCCGCTAGCATCAATAACCACTATGCTTACCAGAATGAAACGGCTTAATGAAAGTTTAAAACTCATACCGATCCATAATCAATGAAACTACAGCTAAGACGGTGATCCCCATACATATCTCCAAGCTTTGATAGGTATTAGACTGGGTGTAAATCGAACAACTCTTTTATTGTATTGTCCATCACCTATAACAGTGACTCCAGCTTTGCATTTTGCAATTTGAATTGTGTCAGCTTGCTTCGATAGTCGTTCAAACCGAACAAGCGGGCATGTTACTATTTGGTATATAATTTTAGTCTTGTAGCATGCATGCAACATTTTCAACAAGAAAATAAATATAAAAGAGCATAAATCACAGCCTGCTTTGTTAGCACACACTTGCGTCGCAACATTTATTGCTCAGCGAGCTGTGAGATGTCAGCCACTCAGCCGCATATCGATTTTGTATTGGTGATTATAAATGAGACTCATGCCTATTAGATTGCATCATACCTGTTTGATTGTAAATAAACTGCATTGAAAAAGGAGTGGCCTGCGATCACGAGGTTTGCAAATGTACCTATGTTGTGCTGTAAATACATCGCCATGTTAAAACCCGCGCCCCGTAGGGGGGGGGGGGCGAAACGGCCCCCCTGTCTTTTTCCGTCGATATCTCCTAAACGGTTGGAGATATCGCCACCAAACTTTCAAGATCCCTCCGGGCATCAATTTTACACATTGTGACCAAAATTTTTCCAGAGGCTACGACATGTTGGCCACAAATGACGTCGAAGATACAAAAAAATGATCCGACATAAAAGGTGTAGAATTAACAGGGCATTGTATCAGTGACCTCAGATAGCAAATTATGTGTTTGACGAACAATGTACCATCGATGGTTTTCAATATATTACCAATTTACTCGATTTGACAACACATTTCTTGAAATGCCTGTGAACGGTGAAAATCCGACCTTTGACCTGACCTGTGACGTCATCAGTTTGACCTAGGTCAATGAAATTTGATCACAAGGTAGTTCCCGGGTGGGGCTATCGAACGCCGTTTGAATTTTCAAAATCGGCCGGTAAATTTCCGAGATCTTAGGGGGGCCAAAACGCCCCCCCCTACGGGTGTTAGGGTCCGCCGATAGCCCTACGGGGCGCGGGTTAACTGGGCTCGTAATAGCCACCTGTGGAGAGTTTCCAGTATAAATACAAATGCAAAATACAAATACAGCATTGTGAGTTACTAGTTAGATAAACGCTCGACTCGTCGGGCACACATCCCTGCATCTGCAGAGCTTAGAGACGGCCGTTGACCTGTAGGGGAGAGTGGGGTGGGTTGTATCAGTTTTTACTCCGAGACCCATAACCTCGTAACTATCCGTGATAAACTCATTATTTCCATACTATCCCCTTCCTTGATTCTTCTGCTTTTTTGTGCAAAGTAACTTTTCTGCTACCTCTACCAGTTTTTCTTCTACGGTCTCCCGAATAGAACAATGTTTTTGATACAACTTGCCCCATGGCTTGGGTGAGTTGTATCACATGGTGGGGTAATTTGTATCACTATTTCACGCACTGGCGGTCGCAGGGGGGGGCCACGGGGGCCATGGCCCCCCCTTTGGTGCTGAAAGGTGGGGCCATACTATCTTTTGGCCCCACCTTTCAGATCGAACAAAAGTCCTAGAAAAGCTTTTCGTATGTTTCATTTTCTTTCTTGCGCCATCAAAGGACGTAAATTTCACTCATGAGTGGGCTCAGTTTCGCATTCTGTCAATTTGGCGGTCAGCGTCGCTGACACCGGTTCACGAGTATGGCCGGATCTTATATGGAATATCAGCGTGGGTTTACTTGAGGCTCTCGTAGGCCCAGCATTCAGCAATGGCTGGCATGAGACCCTCTTCGGCAGTGGTGGGTGGGCCCTGCTAAAGGAGATTGGCTCCAAGACACTAAAGTAAGACCTCATGGGTTGGTGCTGTACTGCTGTGCACCTCAGAAGCCCGGTGGTGACGCCGTATGCCGGCTTGGTTTCTTAAGGATTAGCGTGGGACCTCCGGGGCCTGCATAGAGTTTGCATGAGCTAGTATGTAATCTCAGAGGCATGTGTGTAATGTGTACACAGTGGCGGTCGCGGGGGCCGGGGGGGGGGGCATCAGGGCCATGCCCCCAAAGGTCAATAAAGGGGGCCATCATATCATTTGCCCCCCCCCCCCCCTCAAACAACCAATGGGCCCCCATATAGGTGTATGGGGCCCTGGCAATTATTCGATCGTCACGAGGCTAAAAAAAAAAAACACGCCCAGCTCCAGCTCAGATATAGCTCCCACACCGGTTTTTGAACGTCCTACACTGACCTCTGAGGGAACTTCAGTGGCGGTCAAGCGCCCACGTTGACCGCTAAGAGCCTACATCAACCTCTGAGGGAACTTCAGTGGCGGTCATGCGCCCACGTTGACCGCTAAGAGCCTACATCAACCTCTGAGGCCCCACATCTGGCCTATGAGGGCCCCTAACCGGCCTCAGGGGTCCCAGCCGGCGTCTAAGGGTCTCACACCGGTCTCTGGTGGCCTTATTTCTGTCTCTGGTGTCCCAAGACGAACCTTTAGGTGCCAATAAGGGCCCCGCACTGGCTGCTGAAGACCCGATGCCGGCCTCTAAGGGTCTGCATTGGCCTCTGAGGAGGGCCCATCTTGGCCTTTGAGGGCCCTGTGCTGGCCTCTGGGGTCCAACGACGGCTCATGCCGGTCTTTTAGGGCCCCACGCTGACCTCTGAGGGCCCATGCTGGCCTGTAATGAGTAAGGAAGGACCCACATTAGCCTCTGAGAGCCCAACTCAGTCTCTGATGGTCTCAAACTACTGGCCTTTGCAGTTTGCAGGCCCTGTACTGGTCTCTGAGGGCCCTAAACTAGCCTCTACATGAAAACATACATGGGTGGGTTTCTGAAGATCAGAGGGCTCACGCAGTCTCCGGCACAGCCTTACGTTGGTCCTGATCGAGATTGCTTTACGTCCTGATGGTCCCGCGCTGATTCCCTCATATTTCGAGGTGGGGACCCCATGAGCCGGTGTGGGTCCTGGGGCTGGCAGAGACTGATGAAGTCCTTAGGGTTCAGGGCCAGTCTTTTTAGCAGTAGGACTAGGCAGGTTGAGTGAGCCCCAACAGAGCCGTTGCGAAGCCCCGCAGGAGTCGCGCGCGGCCCTCAGATGCCAATTCTGAAAGCTCGGAACCTGTGGGGGTCTCCAGAGGCCGGTGTACCTACTCTCTCCCGCCGCCACACAACTAGGTACCTATATGGGTAAATGTCATAGTCTAAAAATGCTCTCTGGGTTTCACATGCTTGTTCAAAGCAAGAGGTATCTGTACTTTTTAGCAAGATGTATCTGTACTTTTCCGAATTGTTTTATAGTGGTAAGGTCATGAATCCGCGTGCCTGACCTTCCAGTATACCTATATGCTACACCGATCCGTCGTCATGGACGGTGCAGCGGCCCGACCGGTGGGCACACCGTGAGACGGTAAATGGAACTGGTGATGTTGCCTTAAATTGAGCTCAAAGATTTCACGCAAGAATGAGATGGATGAAGCATAAGTAATGCCAACTGTGCGGCACCTCGTGGACGTAAAAAATTAGCCGATCACCCCCCCCCCCCCGGTGACGGATAAATGTTATGTCCCGCGAGTGTGACTTTGGCCCCCCCTTTTGCTAGCGGCTGCGACCGCCAGTGAATTTTCACGTTTCAGGGAGTGTGCTTCCTATTGGTTTTGAACATAACAACAACATTAAATGGGGTTAATACAATGTATAGGTATGCTCAAAGGCTTCACTTTATTAGACCAAACTTAGGTCAATGCAATCCGAACGAAACATCAACAGACTAGACGCAAAAGTGGCCCGTTAAGAGCAAAGAAGCCAACACATTGTGCCGGAATGGAACGAGCATTGACTAGCTACCTACAAACGCGAGCCAGGGCTTAGCTTTCGCGATCAAAAGCAACATACCCATACATACATACATACATACATGTTACAACATACCCCACCCGGCTCTGATACAACATGTACCTAGCCGCCATCTTGGAAAAAAACATCCTCGTACTAAAAAAACAGCGGACAGCTGGAGAAATCCGTTTTCACTCACGCAGCCTTAGAACCTACCCTCACCACCGCTACGGAGATCTTTCAAATTCGTGCACATCTAAATGCCCAGAACACACATTTTCTTGCAACTTATTTTTTTAGAATGACATTAAAAAAACATAAAATCGGCTCTCACCTCGAGACGCGTCCACTCAGCCACAAGACAGAACAGGGAAAGATGGCGCCCGGAAAACCTCGTCGGCTGGTCGTGTCGCGAGCGCCATCCATTGGATAAGTTTGGCACAATTCGCCCTGATACAACTTGGACATGATACAACTCACCCCGCTCTCCCCTATCTTAATCGGAGACGTAGCTGACTAATCTCAGGTCAGGGCTATTGACAGAGATTCTGGACTTCCAGCTGCTTTGCCACCCCTCCCCAGTCGCTGTGGTTAGCTTAAAGGTTGAGTGGATTAGCAGTCGACCTAGGCCCACCTAGCCAGACGATTAAGGATCTAAAATGTCAACGGTCAGCGGTAAATAAAAGGCTTTCACAATTCGCTGATCGGTAGACCTCAAAGCTCAATAAAAGCTATTTTCATGACGGCATGATTGGTCATAGTTAGGGCGATTTGGTCAAATGAGGTATAGGCATATAACTTGTTGATTTTCAGTAGTTTTCAGCTCAGGTTGCAATAGATGCAAATTTACGTACTTACGTCAATTATCAAATTGTCAGACATTATTTTCGATAAAAGCATTGAAATGAATTTATGATAAGAATGTATATGCTGTAAAAGAAATTCGACTAGATTTCGTCAAGTTTGGTGCATTTGCCAGATAACCCGTGCCGAAAAATCATAATAGTTCTCGCCATAGCTACACCGAATAAAAGATGGCTTTTGTTGTGGATCAGCTGCCGCTGTTGACGATCGGCCGTCGCGCGCCGATCCGGTGACCCAGTTTTGTCGATCAGCTGATCGTAATTTGTCGGCCGGCCGCCAGAGGCGCTGTTTGTCCTTCTCGCGACGGACCTGTGTGGCGGCGGGCGGCCGGCTTGTGTGGCCGAGAGTTTTGAGCATTAGTAAGCGGTTACAGTGCTACCTTCGTGTTTAAATTAAGTTCAATAAAGTTCAAGTAATCGTAACATTCAGCGGCGGGATTATAACCGGCGCCGCGTGCCGCAGTCGGCGTGAGCGAAACCGATCGGTGTGCCGAAGATCATCGAAGATGGCGTCGGCCGGCAGCGGGAAGAGCGTTAGCCGGACGTGACGTCACAGGGAAGCTTCGGGACTATTCCGCGGGTGGCGCCACCGGTCAGGTGTGTCATGGCGGCGCCCCGTGTGATGATGTAAACAAACTGAGTGAACGGATACCGGACGGATAATCTGTGTGATACGGGACCGGTGATGGATAACTCGGTGGACACGAGTGCCGGGGCGACTGGGGCACTGAGCCTGCC